CTTCTTCTTCTTCTTCTTCTTCTTCTTCTTCTTCTTCTTCTTCTTCTTCTTCTTCTTCTTCTTCTTCTTCTTCTTCTTCTTCTTCTTCTTCTTCTATTATAATTATTATTATTTGTTATTAATAATTACTTCATAATTATTATTTTCTTATTCTATTATTATTATTATTATTATTATTAATTTTTTAAATTTATTATTATTACTATTATTATTAAAAATTAATTGTTAGTTTTACCACTCTTTTCTATAAAAATACTAATTGTTATTTAGAAAAATAGCACTTATTATAAAATAACACTTATTATAAATACTATTATTTATTTTAAGCAATTGATTATTAATTTTACTTCTGTACTATTTTATAAAAATACCGCTAGTTATTATTATTACTTCATGTTTTATTAGGTATTGTTATTTTATTATTTTTTATTATTATAATAATTATTTATTATTATTATTTTATTTAATTAGTATTTTTACTACTCTAACTTTTTTTTATTAGTTTTACTACTCTAAACTTACGTATCATTGAAAAGTTAGAGTAGTAACTATATTACTAAAATTAATTTTCAATTAAAGCTTTAGAAGAAAAGAAGAAAAAGCTTATAAATGATACGTAAATATATTAGTAAAATTAATTTTCAATTAAAGCTTTAGAGTAGTAAAACTAATAAAAAAAGATAGAGTAGTAAAAATACTAATTAAATAAAATAATAATAATAAATAATTATTATAATAATAAAAAAATAATAAAATAACAATACCTAATAAAATAGTATGAAGTAATAATAATAACTAGCGGTATTTTTATAAAACAGTACAGAAGTAAAATTACTAATCAATTGCTTAAAATAAATAATAGTATTAATAATAAGTGTTATTTTATAATAAGTGCTATTTTTCTAAATAACCATTAGTGTTTTTATAGAAAAGAGTGGTAAAACTAACAATTAATTTTTAATAATAATAGTAATAATAATAAATTAAAAAATTAATAATAATAATAATAGAATAAGAAAATAATAATTATGAGTAATTATAATAATTAATAACAAATAATAATAATTATAATAGAAGAAGAAAAAAAACAAAACAAAAGGTAAAAGAAAAAAAAACGGGGGTGGGGGGAGGAATGGAGGTCACACTGGAAGGCAGGAGAAAGAAGAAGAAAAGAAGAAAAGAAGAAGAAGAAGCAGAAGAAACGAAGAAAAGAAGAACAAGAAGAAGAAAAGAAGAAGAAGAAGAAAAAGAAGAGGAAAACGGAGAAGGAATATTAACGGAGAGAATGACGGATTGTCACCCCGGAGTCAGTTTTCGAATATCTTAAGGTACCTCGGAGTATATTTTGAAAAACAATGGAACCTGCGAGTTCTTAGTACAAAATAAGGGGTACCCAGCAGCAACTTTTTGGTAAAGAAAATCTTTAAAGTCGCATACTCGCATCTTCTAGTTTTTATTCTCCTTGAGAAAATAAGAACCTGGGGCGGGTTTTGTCTTAAGGTCATAGAAATTGATCTGAGCCCATATCTGCGGCCCTCATACATGTACTCTGCAACTTCTAGTTTTAGAGCCTATTTTCTTCAATTTATTTTTAATACCTAGTCAAAAAAAATTTACATTATTACTATGAAGGCATTTTAATGTTTTTATTTATTTATATGTTTCTATTTATTATTTCGTAAAAAGTACTAATATTTTTTACACTTTTTTAAAATAATTTTTTATATAATTTTTTTAAACTATTAAAGTTATAGTTTTTATTTTTATACTAATTTGTGAATAAAATAAATTTAAAAATCATGGAATTTTACAATTTCTTTGAACATGGAGGTTGTATTACTTAATTTTGTTGGATTAGATCATATTAGATTATATCAAATCAAATCAAAAAATATTTTAAATATAACTTGAACATGATCAGACGAAAAAAACATGTTCTTGAGCTTTGGCCAATATGTTTCAACTCTGGTGATTTCAGGATTTAAACTTCTAATCATATACTTCCTCAATCCCCGTTTTTTAGGTCACTTTTCGTTCAACTTATTTTTCTGCATTTTTCTTATTCTTATTAAAATCACATCAGATCAGATCAAATGAGATCAGATCTGATCAGAGCAGATCCAATCAGATCAGATCAGATTCAATCAAATCAGATCAGATCCAATCAAGAATTATTATTATTATTATTATTGTTGTTGTTCTTAAAAATGAAAAAAGAATAAACTTTGGAAACAAGTTAAATAGAAAACTGAGAAAGTAATCCTTAATTATTAGACGTTGGAAAAATTATTTTTAAAATACATTGACAATGTCAATCTAATTCTACTTTAAAAATACATTTTTATTGCTACCTTTAATTTAAGTTTCTAAAGTTTTGATCTTTTACTACATCGAGTTGATCAACTTTGATCATGACTTAAATAAATTTAACATTTGATATTCTTATACGAAGTATATTTTAGTGTAACTGAAATAACTATTATATCTATGGTGTTATATTAATCTGAAATAACTATTATATCTATGGTGTTATATTAATCATATCTATGAGATATTTTAATAAAAAATTATCTCTTCTCTATATTGATTATTTAAATTTAATTACTTTTTAATTTATATATGAATTAAATATTTATTCTAATGTATATATGAACTAATTATTAAAATATTAAATCAATATTCTTATTTCATAAAAAAATAATCATAAAATAAAAATATTATTACATTATAATATAAATGATTATTCTAATATATGAATTAACTATTTTTATTTAATTAAAAAATAATCATAAATAATATTGATTATATTATAAAATGAATTATCATTACAATTTTTAAATGTTATTATAAAGTCAAATCAAATTATTGATTTGAATTTTAAATCAAATTATAACCAATCAGATCAGATCAGATCCAATCAGATCAGATCAAATCCAATTAGAGGTGGACACTGTTTCAAGATGGTTCTGGTTCCAGAATCGCCGGTTCTGGTACCGCCACCCATAAGCACCGTTACCGTCATTGGGCCGGATGGTACCGGTTTCGGTACCCGTACCGGCGGTTCCGGTACCATACCGGACGGTTTTGGCAACCCTCCTATTTTTTTGAAATTTTTAAAAGTGTAAATATATAATTGTTAAAGGAAATAATAAAATAAAAGATCTAAAAATGTATTTGTTATTTAAATATTGAAAAATAAGTAATACACAAACAACTACATTTAATATTTTGACGGTTCAAAAAAAACGACGAGGTAAAGAACCGTAAAGCAACCTTTAAAGTAGCTTATATCTCGCTCACCTAAAAAAACTAATTACATTAACATAAAAAAAGTTCATTACTTATTTGTGAGAACTAGGGCTTCCATCTGTGGTTGCATTCATGTAATGTTTAGAATTGAATTCGTACCCTGACTCTTGAACTCGATGTCTTGCCAAGAGCCAATCTCGGTTGCAAACAAATATTTCAAGAGATTCAGCGTTAAGACAATTTCGTTAGTCGGTTAGAATGTTGCCGCTAGAACTGAATTCTTGTTCCATCGCTATGATTGATACCGGGACGGATAAAACTGGTCTGGCTAGCATTCCGAGACATGGGAACATGTGCTTGTTCCGCTTCCACCCTGCGAGGATGTCAAAGTCCACGTCGTTATTGTCGTAATCTCATGGCACCACAGTTGTCAAAGTCCATGTCGTCATCGTCGTCATCGTTGTCCGAGCTTACAGTTGTACCACCTGAACTCGTCAAAGGGTGACCACGCTTACATTTTTTTGCCAAAAGCTCACCGACTATTCATTTGAAACTTTTTTTTGCTTTGGGGGACAGAGAGGTAGTGTTTCTTCTGGTGCATTACCGTATATTTCTTGAAATTCTTTAAATGATACAGGTTTAGTCATGTTAATTTTAGTTTTATAGATCTTTTGATATAATTTTTAAATATATACAGATAATTTTTTTTCTTCTACACCAATTTATTAGTTGATAAAATAACATAATCATTCTTCCTCTTATTTTAAAGACATTTTGATATATTTTTTAAATATATAAATTATATTTTTAATTTTATATTAATTTTCTTATAAATTTTATTAAAAATAGCATTGATCAAACATTCTGTCATGCAACAAGTGGGACGAGTACTCAATTAGAAGTTGTAAAAAAAAAGCATTTCACTTGTCCTCTAAATTTCATGTATACTCGGTATAAAATAAAACTCTAAAAAAATTAAATTGAATGATTAAAAGTAGTGTAAATGAGAGAATATCATGGTCCACAAAAGTTTTTTCATAGTGGGACCTACCAAAAAATGAAAAGTAAAACTTTTTTTGAAACTAACGAAAATAAATCTATGCTTTTTTATATAACGGAAAAAGTGCTAAATTAAAACTATAACAAAAATTGTATGATTGCGATTTTTTAAAATAATCACAAGAGACCCCTTTTTAAAAACTTGAAAAAATTCGAAACAAATGGAAAGGGGGTACAAGTATTTAAAGTTTGAACCCTAGCATTCATTTTTGTCAAAGAGAGGGAGAGAGAGAGAGAATACTCATTTTTGTATCAAGAACTTTGACTTTTTATTACTAATGCAGTATTAATTTTAGATTTACTTTCTCACGTTGTCTTTCAATCTTCATTTTATTTTGAAATTTTGGCTTTTTTAATTTTTATTTTAAGATTTTTTGTTTAGGACCCTAATTAAAAAAATATTAGAGACTTCATCAAACTCAATTTTTTCCCTAAACCAAAAAATTAACGCATCCAGTGATATTATAGAATAAAATCTTCTGCTAAAAAATAGAATAAAATCTTAATTTGAATTTAAAAAAAATAGCATGAGAATAGAATTTGAGAGTGAAATATTTCAAATATGATAATCAAAGTAATTTATGATGTTGTATGTCGATAATGTATTCCCTTTTGTGAACCTTTTAATTTTAGTTAGTGGTATCTAAATACTTGTTTGAGAAAAATTCGATGTTTTTACATTTCACATTGTTTTTAAAAATAAATCGGGAGCAGTACTCTCAGTATCCCATATTATTGTGCCACTAATATCAATCTTCACTCGACTTGCCAAGAGACGAAGGAAGTAGTATATAAGGTTAATTATATTTTGAGGTGTACACCAAAACAAAAATAGACACATACAAACACTCAATCTTTGTGCACGCAAAGACATTGAAAGCCCATTTTTGCCTCGAAGTGTACACAAAGAGGGATTTTCCAAGTATTTTTCATATATTTTCCCCAAATCTGGTAAATTTTTTCTCATTGTTTTATCTCAAATGTTCAATCTTCTCTTGTTCATTACTCTTCTTCTTGGGTCATATTCTTGTTGATCAATTCTCTTCTTTCTCCATCTTGTTTGATCTTCTTCTTCTTCTTCCATATTCTTGTTCTTTGATCATCTTTTTATATTATTTGCTTTATAAATTCATATTTCTTTTTTACAAAATGCACAAAATTGGAAAATTATTCTAAAATCACTGTAGAAGTTTACGGCAGGCGCGTTTAGTTTGTTACAATTAAGTCGAATGAAGAAGATATAACTTGAATGCCTGTGATTTGCACCATTTGAGGAGGCACACAGGATGCAATTCAGAAATCTAATTCAGTATAAAACGTCACCATCATCATAAACGGAGAATTTACACTAAATTGGCAAACCTAGATTCCCCAATGGAGTCATAAACACGTTGGAGGACTAGAGAGATGAGATCGGCGACTTCTGGGCAATGTCATAAACAGAAATGAGGATTTTGCGCTTATGAGTATGATGATGAGCCACTCTAAGAAATCCGACTTTCTGTTCTGAAGAATCTCCTGAAGAAACCTTATATTGTGCTGCAACCAAACACACATTTAATCTAACTGCTTCTGACTTAAAACATAGTAAAAAGGTACTGGAATAAATTAATGAATCATTGTCCTCGAAAAACTGAATTAATCACCTCAACAAATTTCAACTTGAAATCAAGGCTGGCAAATCTCTGAGTCAACTCGAATTCATCTCTCAGGTATTCATTCCCATATCTGAGCATATTTTGCATCTTTCCATGCAATGACCGATCTAAGACATTTTTTATAAAGAAAACGAGTTTTGAGAAACAAAAGGCTAAGGACTGCAGGTATAGCCCCTCATGGACTAATGGAAAACTAAGAATCTGTGTATTCAAGACAAGAAAACAACAAAACCCAATATAATACCGACCCCATTGAGGTTGGTTGGGGTCAAAAGATATATGGACCCATTAAAAAGCAAAAATGTTGTTTCCGGCTTTTTGTTACACCCTTGATGAATTGCTGCTACAGTTACTACCCAAAAAATCATTGTAGTGAGAAGCAAATGAAGTTTAACGTGATAATCTCAACCATTATCAATTAAGAAAAGGATATAAATATCTTGCACATGGAGACAGTTTTTACCTTTCGAAAAGCCCAAGTTTAAGGATAACATCAGCAAGATTAGAATTTGCCTTTGCAACCAACTGGAAAAGCTTTTTCCGCTCCATGGTAAAAGTGCCAGTTTTTTCCATTCCTCTGTTGATATCTGTAAACTCTGCAACCATTCCATCAACCTGAAGAAGGAAAGGAAAGAGTTCTGAAAGACTGAAAACAATGCTGAGAACTGAAGTACGGAGTACTACTTAAGATTCACTGGCACTAACACACCTGACGAACATAGTAATCAAGAGCAATACTTTGGCCCAGAACGCTGCCAATTGTACGGATGCCATCAATTTTTCAAATAATGCAGCATAATGTAGTCTAGCCCACCTTGCATCCACGTATTTAAATTTGGATTCTCTTTCACCTCATACTCTGATTTCAAAGCAAGAAAAGTATGGGGTTGAGTATAGGGGCAAAAAGAAATTTGTAAGTATGGCGGGTGACTTTTGAATCTGATATGATGCATGTGTGTGTGGGATGTGGATAAGTAGGAGAATAGTTGCAGATGCCCTCACCATCCTTCTTCATCTCAGGCAACAAGCCAGAAGAATGTTTTTCAACGATTTTTAGATAACCATCAACCTCACGATCACGGACATTGAACAGGACGATTGAACCATAATGGAAAACTACCATATAACAACAGTCATTGCCACTTAAACCAAAACCTGAATCCTATATAGTGTACAATAAAGTTAGAGCCATACAAAAGAAAAAAATGTGATAAAATAATCCATCATGACTTATGAGAGATGGATATCAAAAGACCAAGATGATTTTCGTAAATTCCCAAATGTAGGAGACATAGATTAAATACTGAACAAAAGTGTAAAATAGCTACTTCCTTTTACCCTCCTTATAATGGGTAGCTGAGATATTAAAAAACCAGCATCACCACTGTCTACTTGAAGCTTGAAATATAACTGCTTCAAGTGACACTGCATTTACATGCTCCAAAGAAATATTCTGTTCAATTTGAAATGAATTACAGATCGGCCAGAGAGTCCATACTTCGTAGATGGATAGCATAAAAGATAAAAATTGAAATAAATGAACAAGAGAGAGCAAGAGAGATCCTCCATTCTGCACTTCTACCAAACTACGGCAGTGCTGAGTACACGTGAAATGTATTTCCAGGAAAATCATTCTCCTGTTTTCTGTGTTTAGTATGCGGAGCAAGGGAGGAGGGGTCCTTGGAATTTTTTTCCCTAGGAGATGGAAAATTATCCTTTTGGTGAGACCCGAGAAACCAATTTTCTACCTCTTGGTAAGATGTGCTTAGCACTATATCATAGGCATGTAACTTTTAGAAAAAACTATAGGGGCTGGGAATAAGACTTGCCCAAAAAAATATATGGAAGTTTGCCAAGCACTACAAAATGTTATGGAAAATTTAGTTTCAATAGGAAAACTTTTTCCATTGAAATTTATTTTCCTTGAAAATGTATTTCCTCTGAACTGCCTAAATATTCTACACCTATTCAACTCGGTGCTAAAAGAAAGAAACCATTGCAGATATTATACACCAAGAGGGACTCAAAAATTAGAGCAAATTGCGACCACTCGCACCTCTGACTCAACATGTGGGAAAAGGAACATATATAGACAATAAACTCACATTAGGATTTGTTTTGGTGCAGCCAAATCTTAAAACAACATAATTGGTCATACGGGACGTGGGAGGAACAAAATTCTGCTTGTTCTGATCAATCAGGCTCCTTAAATCCACTCTGTCAATGAAAATCACAGAAACAAGATCATGGAAGTTCAAGAGATAAAACTTAACCTTGGTGCAAGCAAGGTGGATAAAGAAATGGTTGAGCTCATTTAAATTAGTGTGAGCATAATAATTCAATTGAGTTATTTCATCACATAATCTTTATTAGCCATTTGAGCAACACAAAATCACCAAATATGCCCATATGATATTACAAACTCGTCACATGACCTCATGTTTAAAGAAAGGGTATTCCACCATATTCTGCAAACTTCAAAAGTTTGATGTTATTCAATCCATTATTCTATGGAATTATTAAAGTCTTCTAAAATTATTTCAAGTATGAAATAAAACAACAACAACAACCCAGTAGAATCCCACAAAAGTAGTATTTTATACTCCCTCGGTCCTATAAAACCTTTCTCCTTTCTTTTTTTATCCGTCCCAAAAAACACTTCTCATTTCTATTAAAAAGTCACTTTTACCCCTTACTTTTTCATACTCTACCTATCACATCATACCTTTTTACTAATAATCTATCCATCAAATCATACTTTTACCCATCACATCAAAGGACATTTTTGGAAATTCAATACCAAAATACACTCCCCTTAAATCCCTCCTAAAAAGCGAAAGTCCCATATTTTACGGGACGGAGGGAGTATATAACTAGAACTCTTAATTTATAGAACCATTTCTTACGGAAATTTATAGAACCATTAATAAATTATTACTCCGTAGTATTTAAATTTGACAAATGTTTAAACACTTTGAAACAAGAACTTTCATGAACTCTTTTGCTGACCCTACAAATACATGAAATTGATTTAGCACAACTCACACGTGTTGTAAACTTCTATTTACAGGGGTATAAAATGTAAAACATGTGTTTTAAGATTAAAAGAAAACCCCTTCTAGCGAATACAGAGAAAATTTCATCATTAATAATATAGATATATAAACATTAAAGTGTCCAATTTCATCATTAATAATATAGATGTATAAACATTAAAGTGTCCAATTTAAATTTTAGAATTTTTAGAACTTCACCCAACAATAGAAAATTACTGATGATATTGCATGGTAAGATGTGACGGCTTCCTTCAAAACATTAATGTACCGACCATGGAAATAAAATTTATTAAATTTTTGGCATCCATCCGAAAATGAAATGTAACTGTGACTTTGCAAAGCTTAAGAAAAGTGTTGAAAAGTGAAAAACATTTAGCAAAAAAAAGGTGTGGTTAAAATTTAATTAGAAGAAGAAAACATATAAGCGATGCATATTCACTTTCTAGAAACAAAAGTGAAAAAGTGTAAACTTCAATTTGGGACATCCAAAATAAGTGTAATTTCATTTCGAGATAGAGGGAGTATTAATTAATGTGAGGTATATAGAAAAAGAAACAGGCAAATGCGAGTAATATACATCAAAATTAAATTAAATACACAACAACAACCAGTTGAATACCACGAGAGTAGGGTCTGGGGAGGGTGTGTATGAGAACATTGCCCCTACTCGAATGTACAGAGGTTGTTTAATTAAATAAAATGTTACAAGTAAAACAGAGTAGAATATCAATCGAGTTTAGAAAGGGTGAATTTGGCTGAAGTTAGTGAATTTGGCCAAATTGAGGCCGGAATTGTGAGACTTGCTTAACTTGACGAAATATTGAAAACAAATATTCCAAAACCATAATGGAAGCATATTTTCTTAATCAAATAACATAATATACAAAAAAAGACAATGCTGTTATTTTTGTTCATTATAGATAGTTAAGGCCTGAGGGTATATGATCTACAGCTTTTTTTTAAATTATCAATCAATTCAGCCTCCACAACCAACAAAAACGGTTTATGGAAAAAATTGTGGTGGAGTATGAGTAAAAACAGTCTCCAAAGTTCTAAACATGCCCTAATTGGAATACCTAATTTAGATTTGTCACTTGCCAATGACTGCTGTAAACATTTCAAGGCCTCTGCAAAACTATTTTTGAAGAGCGTGCAACAATAATTTCAACATGCAAGTTATTATGGTTATTACTAAATTAAATAAGAGCTAACCTGGTCGAAAAGAAAAAAGCCCTAACAGGGATAGCCGCAGAGGCAGAGGCAATAATATCGTCCTCGTCGTCCTCTCTCAAATTTTTCTCATCGATCTCACTTGTGGCTTCGGGGCCGGAAGCAGCTTCGTTCCACTCCACCATATGAGCAGAAGACGACGCAGAAGAAATGCTCTTAACCGGGCAAAAATCAGGAATACGTCGAACGGAAAGGAACTTGTAGCCGCCGAATGCTGCTCTCGCCGGAAAATAACAGCCACGGCTGAGAACATTGGAAAAGTATAGAGCAATAGGCTTCGAGTGCAGCGGAGAATTGGAATGGTAGATCGGAAGAGATCGAGACGTCGTGGTATGCGCTTTGACGGAGTGTGTGAAAAGCGTGCGGAACTTGCCGGCGTCGACGAGGACGGCCAGATGATCGCGGGGCCTCAACATCGTCCTCATCGTTGCAAAATCCCGGCTCTTGAAAACCCAGGCGGCTTGATTAGGTCGAGGGCGGGAACAAGAGAAAGAATAAGAAGAACGGGATTTCAAATCAAAATTTTCAATTCACAACTTTTTTTAGTTTTCGAGTTTACAAATCCAGATTTTCAAAAGTAAATAATTATGGAATTTGCATGGACAATTAAAAAACCGTAAGTCAAGTACATATATTTTTTTTGGTTTTTCTTTTTCAGGTTTTAGAATCCTGATTATTTTAAAGAATACAAATAATTACTAATTTTGCATGGGAGGTGTGTCACAAATAGTCCATTAATATAAACATTTAAAATCTAAAAAACTGAAGAAAAATTGATGTTTTTCATAAACAAATAAATAATGAAAGAAATTTTTTATTGAACAAGATACATCTAATAAAAAGACCAATAAAGTTACATTAAGTGTGGTAGACCGTAGATGTATACATTCATCCTCCTCTAGTAGCTCTTCGATCCATCTCACCAATGTACCGGTTACACTTACGTTTTCCTGAACGTGGAATCTCTCCCTCCGGCCTTATTGGTAGATTAACACAAAAGTCACCAATATTTAAATTGGGTTGAAAAATAACTGGTTGAGTCACTCCACTATAACACTATAGATAATTTTAAACGGAATATACCGGTGAGATGAGACTGTCAGCAACTTGACGCTTAGAGTGGAAAACAGCATGAACATGAACACATGGGACTGCATCGGAAGACCATCGACCACAAGTGCAAACTCTATTCTCGACATCCACCATGTCCAATAAATAGATGATGGATCTGTTCGACAAGTATAACTAGTAACATATTGGTTGTTGCCATAGTCTGCAACAGCCCACTTATGTTTTGTTTCGCTCACGACTGCGTAAGATGTTCGTAATTTTCGGAGTGATACGAAATTTTTTTTGTTGCCAATTGAGTGTAGTCTTGTGTCGTTTTGCAAAAGATTCAACCATTTTGCTATAAGACATAATCAAAATGGCAGTGACTGGTAACATCCGACAACCCTTAAGCATATTATTAAAACTCTCTGAACTATTGGTTGTCAGAATCCAACATCTAAAACCACCATCATAAGATAGAGCCAATGCTTCACGCGAAATATCATTCAAGTAAAAATATGCCTCTTCACTGACATTCCGTATTTCTCTCATATATCTTTGAAATTCTTGGATATTAGGTGTGCTCCCAGCGGACCACACCAAACGTTTGAGATCTGAGTTACGGATTTTTGTCATGAAGTTGCTACGGATGTGACGTAGGCAAAAGCGCTTCATTATTCTTCCTGTTTGAAGTTCAGGAAGATCTCTATAAGTGTTGATAATTCCAACATGCCTATTTGAAATGATACATACTTGCAAAGAACGAATAACCCTGTAAAATTTGTAGGGATATGACCATCATACCGACACGGTTCTACTTTTGCATCAATATATGTCGGGTCATTCCAAATACGAAGAGAACGATGAGCCGCTTGCAAATTTAATATTTCTAAACTTTTTGGTCCAGCGAGATCTCTTTGCACTTCATCCATCACACTAATACATATAAAATAATTTATTTGTTAAATACAACTTCTGCCACTTTTTTTCTACTTTATCATATTCTCACTTATTTCACTTTTTGAAATCATTTAATTTATAAATCAGTATATCAATAAGAAATAAAAATTATATATTAAAAAACTACGTCAAAAGTTAAAAGACAAGAGGTGACAATAATCTTTTATTTTATCAAATACTTAATGAAATTGTATAATTAAACATAAGTTATCGACAAAAAAAGAAAAAAAATTGTAATTGAAATGGGGACGGAGGGAGTATTTTGTAATTAAATAGCCAATGAAACAAAAAAAGAGATAAGTAAAACATTACATACCTTTCAAAAAAGAAGATCTTCTTTTACTATTTTGAATTCTTAAATCTTGTAATCTAATAGATAATTTTTTTTGCTATATTATCATATGTAGGGAGTTGTAGAAGGAGAAGAATTAATTAAAAAGAAGCAATCCATATATAAGAGGAGGATACATACGCAGGAGAGTTCAATTATTCAATGCACTTATCCACCCCACGAAAAAACCACTTCCCACCCATTAAAGTTGGAGTACCCCACCTGCAAAAGTAAATAACTTTTTCAAAAAAATTGGGATCTCAAATCCCATTTTTTTATGCCCTATTTTTTTTTTTTTAAAAATACTCTTTCTGGATTTTGAATCTCGTTCTTCCCTATCAGGAATCTACTGCTACATTCAGGAATTTATTCCCCATTTTTTTCCTCCTACGCGAAACTCCCCACATATGTGAGGGTTGCAGTCCTTAACGTGGGAGAGAAGGTGTCTATTTAAGCAATGTTAACTTATTTTTTTTGTTTATTACTAATTCTTATTAAAATTAAATAAGATCAGATCTAGTCAGATCAGATCATACCTGATTAGCTCCAATCCGACCAGATCTAAACAAAATTATTATTATTATTGTTTTTATTATCATTACAATTATTATTACTACTACTATTATTATTGTTATTACTATTACTATTCTTATTATTATTATTAATATTTATATTATCATTATTACTGTTATTATTATTAATATAACTATAATGATGATGATTATTATTATTACCATTATTGTTACTATTCTTATTATTTATATAACTATTATGATTATATTAGTATTATTATTATTACTATTATTATTATTATTTCTATTATTACTATTAGCATTATTATTATTATTATAAAAGTAATTTTAATTTTAATCAGATTAGACTAGATCAAATCAAACCAGACTAGATCAGATCAAAAATTCAAAAAATTAGATCAGATTAGATCAGATCAGACGAACGGAGCGCAGCTTTAAAGGGTCTGAGGATAACTCGGGGTTACTGGGTATGTGCATTTGTTTCAGTATTTTTAAACAACTAGTATTTTGACCTGTGTGATGTACGATGTTGAATGAATTTTTTGTCATTTCTATATCTTCAATGTTTTATTTTTAATAGAATTTACAAAAAACATATGTCATGCATTCTTTAACACTATAGACTTTAAAATCAAAATAAAATAAATAATTTAGCATTTACTATTTGTTAATGAAAATTTGTATATTCGAAAGTAAAGAATCCGCTACCTCCAACGGATATATGGAACCTTATTAGATCGCTGAATTTTGAGGGAAGTCATAAGAGTCATGCGTACGTGTTCCTTTTGGAGAAATTTGTGACTGTGAAAGCAATTCTTGGATTACCAGAGGAAATACGCGGAAGTTTTCTCAATGATGTTCTGAACAATGAAGGTATCTGAAGTGGTCACTATTTTATTTATTATAAGAATTGTGTCTAAATATGTCGTTATTTTTTGTGAACATATGTTACATTTGAAGTCATTGTCCATGTTTTTTGATGTGTAGAAGAACAGTATGGTTTTATATTCTGAAATGTATGACAACTAAATTTTGATTAGTTGCATTTATATAAGATGATGTTACTTAAAAGTTTCGTCCAAGAGTGTTTATTTAGCTTTAAAATTTTACATTTAAAATTTAAATAAATTCTAATAAATTAAATAAAAAAATGTTTAGGATTGATGTAAAAATAATTTTGTATATATATTTTAAGTACGCATATAAAAGCCCGTGCAATCCACGAGGTAAAAACTAGTAAGAATATAATGTGAAAAGTAATTTCATATAAATACATTTTAAACAAATAAAGAAAAACAAGTATAAGGATATTTTAGTAATTTTATTCTTTCCATATCACACGTTACCTAATAAACATCCAAATACAATTTTTTAATTAATTATCTTACTTTACTTATTTACAATTACTTATCTTCAATTACTTACCATTACCTACCTAATAAAACTTTTACATACCTCCAACCAAACATATCCTTATTAGAGTTAGGAGTCTCAAAAATAACTCACACACTTTATTATTCAAAAATGGTAAGAACTTTTGTTTATTTGTTTTTATTATCTATTTGATGAAATAAAATATTATTATCACTTCTTGTATTGTATAATTTTTGATATACTTTATATATATAAATTTTATTTTTTATTCATATACTAATCTTTAAATAAAATAATTTAGGGACATAGTGGTTATACGTAGTATTTTATTTTCTGTCCATTTTGAAGGTTTGACTCTATTGACATTTCTCACTCCACCGTCGTCTTCTACTCTTCTTCCATGGCGATAGCCGCAGCCGCCGTAACGCTTCCCCTCAGGGCTTCTAATCGCTGATCTTTGTCTTCCTCCTTAACCGTTCCGTTCAATTTTTCTCATTACACGCCGTCATCCTCGCGACGGCATACTCTCAGTTTCTCCGTTCGGCTCTCTTCTCTCCGCATTTCGGCTGCTCTGTCCATGAGCACGGAAGCTACCGAGAAAGCTTATCCGGCTTCGTTTCTTGATCGAAAAGAAGGTAGATATCTTCACTTCGCAAAGTACCATGGCATCGGTAACGATTTCATACTGGTAATTTGAAAGTATTCTGTTCTATACTTCTATATACTTGTGTTTGTCCGCACATTATCCTTCATGAGATTTTTTATTGCTGATTTTCCACTAATTTTCCTTTTTTAAAGGAGAAAGGAAATGATTGTTTTTCATGCCAACTGATTTTGTAAAAAAAAATCTCGAGTTATTTGACTTATTTCTGAAAACTGTGACATTAAATGTCAGCAATAGGGAAAAATTCTAGCACATCCTTGTTAGCTAAAAAAAGCTCCTCCAATTTCAATTGCTAGTGGCGATACCTCTTAAAGAAATAAAGTCCTCGAAGTTTTCTGGTTGCTGTTGGTTCACCCTTCACCGGTACCCTGGAGTATAAAATACTAATCCTTTTTTACTGGTTAAGTAGTTTCTTGATTGGGTGTAGAGGTCAGATGAATGTTTATTGAACAATTAAGTGATTTCATAGCTATCAAAGTTGAGCGCTTTCATATATTCGTTATCATTGTGTATAGTAACTGGTCAAGAGCTCAAGGTCCAGCTAAAGTGATGACATCTATGACATTGAGCCGTCTTTTCTCCACAAACCATATCATCAAGCACATGGATTTGACTGTTGAGGACGTATCTTACAAAAAGAATCTCTTTTCTATTTTGACAGTTTATTGCTGAGGTTTCTGACCAATAAACTTTCAATTGCTATATCTTAGGATGCCAAATACGTAATTGTGAAAAGAATATTTTTTTTCATTCAAGTGACAGAAAAACGAACTGACATGGGAGCTTCATCAGTATCATTCATGAAGCTTGCCATTGCACATTTATCAGTGAAAAATAATTACAGGCTTACAAGAGATCTTATAATTTTTTATAGGCTGAGTGTTTTCAATGCAGGTTGATAATAGAGATTCTGCAGAACCTAAAATCACCCCCGAGCAGGCTGTGAAATTGTGTGATAGAAATTTTGGCATTGGTGCCGACGGGGTGATTTTCACATTGCCTGGCACCAATGGGACTGATTATACCATGAGGATATTTAATTCTGATGGCAGTGAGCCTGAGGTAATGTGTTGCTTTATCCTTAATCCGATATAGTTGCTTTTAGGTAGCAGTTCGCCACATTAGTAGTTGTACATCTGACCAACAACCGGTCATATTTTATTCATTTTCAAAATTACACGTCCAATGTTGTTTCTCTAGCTTTTAAACTTCAATTCTTGTTTCTGAACTGCATAGACATTTACAGTACTTGAGATAGAGGTCCTTCTGTATGCAGATGTGTGGTAATGGAATTCGATGCTTTACCAAATTTATATGCGAGCTTGAGAATTTACATGGAAAGCAAAGGTACCATTTCATTATGCTTCTTTTTATGTTGCTATTTCCTCCATCCCATAAAAATGTTCCACATTTTCTTTTTTTCTTTGTCCCAAAAAAAGGTTCACCAAAAAATCAACCACATACTTTCATCTTTATTAATAACGGTTTCCATTCACTTGTGGAACCTTGTTTTGGGACGGAGGAATATTATTACCATTATTGTGCTATGCACTAGTTATGATATCTAACTAAAGCAAACAGATAACAGTTTTCTTATTAATCACTATTGGCTGATTATCATATGCCCTTTTTTATTCCCTTAGCTTCACTGTACACACTGGAGCTGGCTTGATTGTTCCTGAGAGACATGAAGACGGAAAGGTGATCTCTCTTTCTCTCTCATGGTCCAATCAATGTCTTAACATAAAATGCTCTATGTTCTCATTGTTTTGGGATGGAATATTGGAATTATGGAATTTTATTGAAAATATTTGCTTTAAATGATATTCTCTACATTAGATATTAATTCATCATAAGTTTCAGGTTAGGGTTGATATCCCACTCGGGCAAGAGTTCCGTAGTCTACAAGGGTGTTTTAATAACCGTTTATTTCTAGTTAGACAACAATTTCCTCTTGACCTCCAACTACCTTGATGAACCTCACACTGTACACAATCGTACCCTTTAGGAGTGACTGTAACTTTTGGTACAGGAAACAAGGTACACGCCTAGCATTGATGAACGTGGTTGTGGATATGACTATTAAGAGGATGTTCTTTTACAGAGGAGACACTTAAAATTTTCACTTAGAAAAGATTATTTTGAGCTTTAGTTTTCCAATTAAATACTGTAGCTTGAACTTATAAGTTCCCTTCTCATTGTGACTAGTTGTGAATTGCTTACTATTTTGGTGATCCTATTTTGCCTGTTTCAACTTACAACAGGATTTGCAAGTAGATGAGGTAAACTTGGCAGAAATTGGTCCAAAGTTTGAAAATCACGTTATGTTCCCTCCACGAACTAATACTGGTAAGTTCAACCTTCACGCAGCCCAACTGTCTTTTATGCGTGTTTTAGTATTCCTTTCTGTTCCAACACGTTATCTTGCTATTAAGTTAACCTGTATTGTGTTGAAATTGGGGTATTTTTCACTGCAACACATACCGTTTGGATCTTGCAGAATTTGTGCAAGTGTTGTCTCCGACACACCTAAAAATGCGTGTCTGGGAGCGTGGTGCAGGTATGTTTATCTGCAGTAAACGATTCTGCAAAAGTTGTTGCTTTCTGAAACTGTCATATGTTAATGCTTGTGTGCTCAATGGAAGGTGCAACCCTGGCTTGTGGAACAGGAGCTTGTGCTGTAGTTGTTGCTGCCGTGCTTGAGGGCCGTGCTAGAAGGGTAAGCTACTAAGCTATGAGAGTGGTGTGTCTGTGTGTGTTTCATTTACAGACTAAAAGAAAAGGAGAAAAATCAAATTGGAATTGTCGTTACTTGGAGAATGTGCCATAACGAGCATGTACCCCATAAGGCGACTATTTAAACAAACCAAACATACCCAATATCCCAATCGGATGTAGAATCAGAGGGTCAGATGCATGGTTTTCCTCTACCCTTAAGGAGTAATCCATGAGGACCCTCGACAAACAGCGAAAGGAAGTGTGAAAAGTGCATTTAAAAAAGTGCTTGTGAAAAGGTGAAAAACTAACATGCATAAACATCCACATTGATTTCGAATACAAAGGATACAACACTACACACCATTATATACCGGCTTGAGTCACTACACATACCAAGTTGACATTTAGTATGTAACTCCGAGGTTCAACATTATCTTTATGTCTTTTGGGTTTCTCATTATCGGCTATTCTTTCTTGAAACAGCGGTGTACTGTCGATTTACCTGGCGGGCCACTTGAGATTGAATGGAAGGAGGATGACAACCATGTGTATATGACTGGCCTAGCAGATATTGTCTTTTATGGAACTGTTCCTCTCTAAAGCCTCCAGCTCCCACACCACTTAGGTATATTTATTCTCCAATTGGGTATTGCATTAGTCTTTAAAGCTTTCCTGAACTTCATATCCAATTTTCTTCATGTAGTTCACTAGTTCCATGATGCAATGCTTAACTTCTGAGAACATGACAAGCCATCTCCACTGGCTTTTCTGTAGTACTGAGATGTTGTACCACAAAAAAAAAACATTTTTCGTCATTTAAATTTGTAATAATGCTCTCAATTTGGACATATGTGCTTGGATGTTTTGTACTGGTGCGTTTAGCTTTCGAGTGACCTCAGTTTCAACATTGTTTCTCAGCATAAGCAAAATTTTCAACGAAGGTAATGCATGCAAGCCATTTTGAAATGTTGTATGCAAAGTGAAAGGAGTTTTAAGCTACTGATATTCAAAATGTGAATTTTATTTACCTCTAACATTGGTAAAGTTTATGAAAAACTTGAACCCCCCCGAGAATCCTCCAACCCATTAACTCTATACCACTCGTTTCGTTCCAATGTAAATTGTTTGTTTCGAGTAATGATGTCTGACTGGATTTCTTTTAAAGATAATTTATTTTAGAACCGGCGTAGAATTAAAAATAAAACTTACTCTATATTAAAAAAACTAATCAACTGAGAAAAAAATGAAATTTGACACTGTAAATAAGTGATTGACAACTTAATTTGGGATGAAAGGGAACATTTTTTCATAGCAGTTCAAGTTCCGGGAGATTGGTTTCCAATAAACGGAGTATAACAACATTGACACTATGCTTCCTTGGTAATTGAGCCATTTTGATACCTCAAAATCATCCATTTTCCAACTTAAAAATTAAACCTCAATTGGTAACAATAAATTATCATTCTATAAAATTATCATTTGTGAAACTTAAATTTTCATCAAATTTCAAGGACTATCCAATAAATCGAAATACAATACTGATACTTAAGAATCAGAATCTGGACATACTCAAATCAAATACAACTAGTCGGAATTGGCTTGTGCCCCCCGGCCCTCGCCCCAACCCTTTGTCTTATCAAACCATTAAAACCTAATATTATGTAACTAGCAAAGGATGCAATACGTGCGTGGGTGCCCACGTACATTAGTTTTGTACATCCAAAAAGCACAAAAGGAGTATTTTACATGGTGATTCACATTTAAAGCTTAAACATATAAGCTAGATTTTGTTCAAAACAGCAAGAAGAAGGTAAAGGGACCAGTACAGTTTCTTCTTTTTTGTCATTGATTTCAACTGCAATATTTATTATTAAAGTCGGAGAGACAGGGCTTGTGGATGTTTTTATTGAAGTAGGTATATTTGTTAGAGTAACTAACAAACGAAGGCATATGAGGGAGCACGTTTTATCATCGTTGGCTTGGTAATTAGGTGACATCATTTTGAATCAAAGGTACCTAAATTAAAAATAAAAAAGTTGTTATTGATTAATCAAAGGTTATTTATTTCTAATGATTGAGAGCAAATATAAAACTTAAAAAATCTATATAGTTTGAAGTTAAGTCAGGGTATCGAAACTACGTGGGCTGCAGTGAAGAATTGAATGCCAGGAGTGAAAAAGAGAGCCCAGGTAAGATGGTGAGAGAGATAACAGGAAAGGAAAATGAAGTGGGTGCACTCACTACAGTAAATACACTGAAGGAAGACGGAAAATGGGCCAAAAAACTTGACGGTAACTCTCTAGCCCCTTATAATATAAGGGTAGATATAATATAAGGGTAGATATGCAAATAGAATTTTAGCGGGTGGGGGTTACGAAGTTGGCAAGGAAAGAGATGTACATAGGTAACACCCATGTTCTATTCCTGAAAACTGCGCTGACAGACAATTATATCAAAAATCGGATCTCTGCAAGTGTCAGGTGGATGCTCTACTCTTTGCCACCAATCTATGATTTAAACTCACCTTACCTTTTCATAGGTGATCGTCCGGTCAATTCTGAGGGATCCTCAGAGATAAGGTTCATCTTTTTTTTTTTGCAATTGAAATTTAAAACTTTTAAATATCAATAATTTTTCAATTTTTTTGAAACATTTTTGTAACAAACCCTTTATGGATACCTTCATAAAAAGATCACGAATTTCTTTTTGCGCAATTTATATTATACAACTGGTTGTACCCAAAGTTGGGTACCACCAGCTTTAAAATGAAATGGCCACGAGGAGTAGTCGCGGAAGAGCTAGATTGTCGCAAGAAGAACTCTAGGTGCGACACGACAAAAGAGCTGGATTGCCGTAAGCCTGCGTGGAAGAGCAACAACCCTAGGTGCAGATGCGAGCGATGATTGAGGCGCTACTTATCGGGACAGAACTGAGAAACCCTAAGTCTAGCGATTGTTGATGCCTCGTGGAGATTTGCAGCAATGACAACGATGAAGATGAAGATGACTATGCTAATTGGAGTAATGTAAGTTTGATTAGATTATATGATAATATTTTCCAAATTTGAAGAGGATGAATGAAACGTTACTTGAGTATGGACACTACAGTATTTGAGAATGAGTATCATTTTGTTGCAGAATAAAGAGAAAGAATAAAGTAGGAGTAAAACATTACAAATATACAGAATATATGAGCTTCATTGTTTTATTTCCAAAATAGGAGTTAAAATGCATTTACATTATCAATAATGACCATGTACTTCTATTTAGAGAATAAAAACATGACTCTTATTTTGGTACTTTTTTTTATTTTTAGAGGGTGTTTGGAGTGATTAACTTATTGATAAAGTGTTTTCCACAAAAGTTGAAAACAAAAACACCTCATACCTGCTTCTCCGAAACGGTGTTCTATGTACAAAATAGTGGTGGTGAAAAACAGAAGCTGAAATGTCAAACAGAGTAAAACTACTTCCACTCAAATCAGAAACTAAATTATTAAAAGCAACACACTGCCAAATTCTGTTTTAATCTTATTTAGAGTGATTTCTTCAGATTGAATATTATATTCTTCATAAATAAATACTACCTCCGTTCCAGAGTACTTGTCCAATTTCATTTTTACACACTATCCAATACACTTATTTAATCCATTTTATCTTGTAATTTGTATATTAAAAAATTATAGAAATTATATATTAATAATCTACTCCGTATATGTTAAGACAAATCAAACAAGATCATATATGACTATATTTAGGCTTACATATTGAGAGAATTTGATGAGTCAAAGTGTTTAGATGAACAATTCCAAAAGTCAAAACTGGATGAATACTGCGGAACGGAGGAAGTAATACGGAGTACTCCGTATAATTATATTGAACGAATATATGAGAATATATGAAAATGAGTGGGCTTAATATTGATCAAATGTAGAATGGGCTGTGTACGACTGTACGCCTCTACCATATACCCTTCTCTCCTTCTTGCGATTCTTTCTTTGATTTCATACCGGAGTAAATTCCAACCTTTTTTCTCCTCAATTTCATAAAAAAACTCATCTAGTGCCGGCAGGCGTTTTCAAGGTCGGGGACGATTGAGGGTTTGAGGCCGCAGAGTGCCATGGTGATTTCTTAAGGGTGGTTTTCCCGTTCTGCGTGCCAATGATTTCTCAAAACTTAAACAGCCCTTTATATGTTTATTCATCATCATCATCATCATACTCGTCCCGTTTCTTCTTCTTCTTCTTCTTGTCTTCAACTTATAGGCACTTGGCCGTCCATGGAATCGGTGCCTGATTTAAGCACCGGCGTTATTGGCGCATGAGTCTGTGATGAATGGATGATACATTTTCTTTATTTCGTCGGCCATGGAGAAACCTGTCCGTTGATGGCGTGGCAATCCAGGATTGGAGCCACACGGGTCGTCTTCTTAACCATGGATGACTTTTAAACACAGATCTGAGACTCAATCTGAGGATGGCATATTGAGATTGGTTCTGGAATTACCCCGTAAGGAGGGTTTTACTCACATGTAGTACTAATCTCATGAGGCTGCAGAGGGGATGCGGGTTTTCTAAGGGTGGTTTCCCCTCCCTGCATGCCTATGATTTGTATGATTTCAGACTGCCCTTCAAATATAACAGCCCTTTCGAAATGCAGTACGTGCTAGTAGTTTGAAAAGAATGCTACAAGTATACCACACTTGCTGTTTCTCCACCAATCTTGTTAGGCTGTGATGATATTATAATATTCTTAGGAGATTCATGGGTTGAGGAAGTTTGATCTGTATCTTGGCAGGGCAAATCAAGAAGAAACTGAGGTTTGCAGCCATGGCTGTATCTTCTTTCCTTTACCCATTCAAATAAAATGATCTGAGCCCCATATTTTCGAACACTCTGGTCTTGTTTTTCTTTGAACTTTTTTTTCAACTCAATGTTTTTAGTTCAGTACTTTTTTATTATCAATTAAAACTAAACTATACACATTTAGTTCAACATTTTAATTCAACACTTAGGGGTTGTTAAATAGCACTTATTATCAGTACTGTTCAGAACAAGTCTGTAGATCCATGGGGATTTCTAAGGGTGGTTGTCCATCTCAGAGTGTCAATGATTTCCCAAAATAAAAAGATCCTTAATATGTTTATAATGCATATACCATCTGTCTTTTCTTCATCAACATATCGGCAATAGGACGGGGCTCATGCAACCACTATAGTCTGTGCTTAACTGCTAATGGCACCTCAGTGACGGGTAAAACAGTGATGTTTGTTTATGTGAGTCTGTGTGCATGGATAATTGGTCTGCTGATGGCTGGGGTTCCAGACAGTAGCGAGAAGTGGTAGCCACCTTCGGTGCCTGCCCTTTAAAACTAAGATGTAGACTCATTTCTTAACCAACGATTCATTGTTCTCTTTCATTTTTCATAGGCTAATGATGAAGCTACCCTATCAGTCATCGGAATGATGGAATCTTGCAACCTTCAATCCCATCTGCTTTATTTTTACCCTATCACCTAATTGTAAGATTTTTTAATATTTATTTACACTTATTATACTCAGTATAAATTATGGTGTAAAAATGCAGAATGTAAATAAATGATTTTATATCTTAGTTTTTACATTGTTGTAGGTTTGCTAATTTTCAAAGTATCACATGTCATGTTTTCTTCTTTTTTATCTCTTATTGACAAATGATTATGAAATGGTGATTTTTAGGTTGTTAACAGCATTTACAGAGTCTATTTTGTGGTTTCAGGCCTCAAAGCCATGATGGACTTGCCTATGATATTAAATTTTACAGCAACACAAACTCACAAGGGATTCAACATTGTTAGGGTAACAACAATAACTGGCTATGTGATGTTTTAAATATAATGATATCGAGGATATTCTTCCTTGCAGTGTGCACCCTTGATTATATGCTTTGATTTTGATGAGTGTATGCATGTTACTCTATCTTAATATGTGTGAAATTAATCAAAATAAAGGGACATCTAAAAGTGATGGTGAAATTTAAACTATTTACTTTTAAAATTGTTGTGTTAATTGTAATTATTAATTATTGTAGTGATTCAAATTGGATGGAGGTTTCTTCAAGTTATCCATATGAAGAATTGTCCGCGGATGTGTTGGTATGGTGTTTTGTTAGGTTTCTGTGTGCTTTAAAAAATCTCTATATTGTGTTTAATGGAAGTGAGTTGTGCCCCAAAAGAGATTTTTTGGTTTGTAGCTGGTAGAGTACAAAGGTGAATTGTTATTGTGTACTTAAAACCTTTGGTACAATTAGAATTTGTGATTTATGTGTTATGTGCAAAGGTAAGCTTTTGATTTGGTTGTACAATAGATGGAAAACTGAGTTTACACATTTTCATTAGGGTTTTTTCACTTTAAGGGCATGTTTTGTTGAACACTTGACATGTTTAATTGGATGAAATGATTTACATCTGTGCCTTTTTCTAAAATAAAATATTTTGTTACTTTCATTTTAGCAAAACACATAGCTAAGTTGATGGCCAAGGATTTGCATTGAAATGAGTGGTGCCTCAAACACATATTTCGAGGTACAATTCTATCCTATGATCATAATGATAATCCGATGACTTCCGTTAGGTATTCATTAGGAATAACTTTCACTGGTATCAAACATGTTTATAATACAATCCATTTATCCAATTCAGACAGCATAACTGCAATGAGTGTAAATTTAGCAATAGAAATCCACCTCATTATGGTCTAAAAGAAAAATAGGATGGCATTAAGTGTAACTTTTGGGCGATCTTTAAATGGATTTTTAATGTTTGGCCTTCACATGTGTGTTTATATTGATGCTTAAAGTTCTCCATTAGTTGTTTTTGTGAATTTTCAGTGCTATATTTTGAGAGACAAAGCCCATTTTGAACACTATTTTTAGCATTTAACTGATTTTTTGTTGCTACTGATCATATATGCTATATTTTAAATGAAATACGTTCTGTTTTGTATATTTTAATCTGCACAACATATATGTACTGATTTAGAAATCATTGTATGCTGTTTTTTCCAAAATCATTTACGTTCCAGGCTGTTTTTTGAAAAAAAAA